AGTTGGATATTTTATTTATTTTATATTATTTCCCAATGGCATAGCCACTTTTCAATGAAAAAAGCACCCACAGCTTGAGATGACAAAAAAAAATATTTGTAACAAATAGTGAACAGAATTCGCTCAAATAAGTTTTTAAAGCTATACAAAATACTGCACTACTACTTTGACATATTTTACCTTCTTTGTATGAATAAAATTCTTTAAAAATGATTTGATATTAATTTACCAAAACTATTAACAATTCACAATGCCATGCCCTTATTTAATCCCGTAAATACAATGTGAAACCCCCTTTATTCTAATATTAGATACGTCACTGTCAAGACATTGTTGATAATTACAGCCTCCCAAGCGCCAAGTAGCCCGGACCAGTCCCTTGGATACCGTGTCGGACCAGTTTAAGTGACATTTAAATCCAATTTAAGAGACACTAAAGGGTCGATGGGGTACAGAAGAGAGAGAGGGGGAGAGAGAGTTTGCGCAAAGCTACCCCCCCTATTGACTGGGATAGACTCACATAATCCCCCACTCTCCTGTCTCACTTTATATTTCTAACACGCTCACACATACTCCTCTCTCACTCTTTCACCCCTCTCCCCCCTCTCTCTTACGTACTCTTTTTAACATCTCTCTCTTCCAACTTACCCTCTCTAACGTCTCTCCCCCCCTTCAGAAGCCGTCGGCAGATCAAGCCGCGTTTACACTCTGTGAAATAAACTACTATTAACTTCGGTCCCTTAGACAGGCTGTTGTTGACAGAAGGATGGATGAAATATTGATTAAAAAGTTAAAGGGATGGATTTCCTTTAGCCTTGTACAAAACTTTGTGTTATTAAGTAACGAGCGTGTATGTAAATAGAAATTTTTTAATATAGTTCGGCCGCTTAGAAAGCGACCTCCTCCAGCATTGGTTTAGTATTAGCGCGCAGGTCGTTTTCTAAGCGGCCGAACTATAGTATGTGTATATTCATATTTTACTATATTTTCTGTTTATATATTTCTTGTTAAAACACTTAGGTACAAGCATGAAATACAATGTGCAATTTGCCTAGTTTGTTTTGCGTATCTTATTTGTTTGTGTTTTAGAAGGCTATGATTGTTATTGTTTAAGGACAATTATGTTGGTATGTTGAAAATGTTTTACTGATAAACGTTGCAATAATATTTGTTTAATGCCCAATTTGTTTTTTTTAGCTTTTCACGTCTTTGTTACATTGAGCACTGACATTATAAAATGATAGATTACTCATTTTTTTTTAATATTTAGATTTGAGTACTTCTTATCTCCCCTTTGTGCATGAAACAATTTGAATTCAAAATGCTTTAGTCTGAATTTACCAATAAATATTAACAATTCAATTCAACAATTTATTTCATTGGCTTGCCTTTTTGCTCTATTCTTTATCCTCTTTTATTGTAATTTTTATTGACTACTTTATACTACGTGTTGGCTTATGTATGATAATCTCATAATTTATCGATATAACAGTCATGTTTTTTTTTTGTTTTTCAGTACAACATAATTTTAAAGGTATAGAATGATTGATATTTAATAACCTAAAGCATCCAATTGAGTTAAAAGATTCAACACGTAATAATGTGATACAGAAACATTTGGCAAAAATATAATATACATTAAAAGTGATAGTTTAAAACCCCCATAGATATAAAGCTACATCCTTAAATGTTGTTTGGATTTGTTTAGCCTTGTTATTTTGCTATTAATCCTCATATCCTCATATACTTCATAAATCCACTGAAATGTGTTTGATGAAAAATAAAATTTTAAGTTTTGGTTTTTAATAAGAAAAATTATAGGCAAGTGCATTGTTATGAGGAATTGTTTATTCTTTAACGGTTAAATGTGTTGTCAATTTATACAGACTATGTGTAAGATGAACGTATACTTATATCATTAGGCCTAAATATTAATAATTTTAATTTGTTAGGTACATTTTTTAAAAATCTACAGTAAGATGTGTTTAAATAATTATTCATTGGGTTTGCAGTATTATGAACAAGGAAGTCAAAATTTGTCCATAGCCTAGTGGTCTAGGAGCCAGAAAATGTTTACGCAAAAACAACTTTGTTATTGGTTAGTTTAGTTATAAGTTAGTGTTTTAATAAAAAAAAAAACCTTTGCGACAGGTTTTGGAATTACTTTATGGAATTCACAAAAGAGAATGTAAACAATGAACACGTCCTTTTGGGTTGGTTGAGATAACTTTAAGGAAATTATTTCGTATCTTGTAACAGTTTATAAGTGTTTATAGAGCTTTTAAAGCAAAAATACAATATGATTATTCATTCCACAATTATAACTGAATTAGTGTGTAAATGAATACCAAATCCAGAATAGTTAAAACTGCAAAAGTTGTAATTAGCTAATTTTTCAAATCATATATTATAATATTTTTTATTCTTTACTACATTTATTTATCTGGTCTGTTTTGCACGTAATGCTGTTCAATAAGTTTATGATAAATAATATGTTCATGTTTTCTAATGTTACCTTATGTTTAAAAACTTCCAAAGCAAATGTACTGTAGGATTTTATGACTGCAAAATCAGGAAACACTATTGCCAAAGGGCATCTCACCTAATAATAGGCAATATAATGCATCAACAAAATACGAGAATAGGTTAAATCATATTCAATACAAAGTCAAACGCTTTGCTATAGGTTATTTTCAAGTATTATCCAAGTAAATTATTTATACACATTAAAACAATGTTATTCAAAGGAGGAACTCGGGTAAAGGAGGGCGTAGTCTTCCATATCTGTTGGAACAAACAACCGAATGAAAATATCGATTATTCGATTGTTTCATTCGACATATCGATCGATATTTTCATTCGGTTGTTTGTGCCAACAGATGCGGAAGTCTACCCGAAGGAGGGCTCAGGAGAGGTATACAGTTCAGAAAACAGTATGATTAAACAGTTTATTATTATAACAGTATTTTATTAAAATTTCATTATATCAATTTTAGTTATTCACAGTTTAATAATGATATATTTAAACTCTAATACTATGAGCAACAATGTGTTATGTGTATACGATATACGAAATGAGCGCAACCACCCGGTATCTCACACTCAAGCAAAGAGAAGGGCATGCAGACACACGTTCCGACATTCCAGTGACGTCATCAGGTCAAATGAGCGTGTAAACACGTCCGATGACGTCATAGTGGTCAGACACACTTCCTGAGACAGACTTGTCCAACACTATGACGTCATCAGGTCAAATGAGCGTGTAAAACACGTCCAATGACGTCATAGTACGCAGACACACCTCCTGAGACAGACTTGTCCAACACTATGACGTCATCGGGTCAAATGAGCGTGTAAACACGTCCGATGACGTCATAGTATGCAGACACACTTCCTGAGACAGACTTGTCCAACACTATGACGTCATCATATCGAGGCAGTGTGCATACACATCCGACGTTCCAATGACGTCATCGAATCAGATGAGCATGCAGACAGGCTTATCGAAATTTCAGGTGACGTCATAGTGTCAAATGAGTATTCACACTAATCCGATGACGTCAAATGACGTTATAGTTTTGATCGAGCATGTATCCACACGTCCAACAGTGAACGAGGAAATCTGTAGGAAATGCATACACACATCGGGCAATACAAATTATAACGTCATAATTTCGAGTTTCCACACACGTTCGATAGATGACGTCATATCGGACCACATGGGATCACAACCTGTGTTTTACACTCTAAACAAAGATATAAACTATTCATATCACAATTTAATAGTATTAACGTCACTTCGGTGACGGACAGTCTATAAAACACTAGCTAACACATACGAGGGCAACGGAAATTATCGGTAAAATTTAGTAAAAATACAGGATAACTGAGTTAAGACTATATTACATGAGGGGGCCCCGCCATACTTGTCATCAGCTGTTCGTGACCCCCTTTACAGCCCACTGATGTATCTAGCTACTGCTATGTACAATGCGAAGCTTACATTCAAGCACGAAGAGAAAATAAGCGAACGGTGACCACGGTCACGTGATCGGACACGACCAATAGGAGCAAACTAATATAACATGTGACCTCAGATGTAAGAAATAGTGCAAGTTTATGTTTAGAAAATAAATATCAAAAAGTGTTGTTTGAAGTGTATTTTTAAAGGTAATTAAAAAAAAATATTCGGTAATATTTTAAGGGAGGTGATGTAAGTACATATTTCTTAATCATCAGGTTTCTTGAAACTGAAGCAAGCGAAAGAATTGGTTGAAACCTTTATAAACTTATAAATTTGTATTTGAAATTTAATTAATTAATAAATTTCTTGTTGGTAAGTAATTATGTGTGCACTTTATTTGGTATGTAATATTTTGCAACATTTGTCGTATAAAGATTTGTATAATGTACTGTAATTAGGTGACCTACATATTTAGTTTTATTTATTTAGTTTTTCACTTTATGGTGTTCTCAATATTTGTTATTAAAAATATATGATAGGCTTACAATTAGTTTTGTCAAGTGGTAACGAAAGAAATCGTCATCACTAGTTTGGAAAAAAGTTTGATAAATAATATTTTTGTTTTTTTGAAATATTTCGACATCTATATTGTGGTTTAATGGTATATCTAATTTAAAAACTCAAATTTAAGCATTAGGAGAATATTTATGTTATATTAGTTTACTTTTAAAATATTGTACATTTAAATACTAGGATATTGGCATTTCTCTGAGCTTCAAAGATATATGAGTGCTAGAAAATAACCAAGATAAACATACCGGTATTCAATATCACAAAAAGTTGTAAAGGGCAATTTACATCAATACTTTTACTTTAAAATTGTGTGATAGTATCGTTTACAAATAATATATTAAGAAAAGAAATTTTTCTCTATGAACACTGTCCTAAAGTAAGTGTGTAAACTATAGGTAGTTGTCATATTATTTTAACTTAACAAATATTACTTATTATCAAAGTAACACAAAAATTAAAATTTTTGCAAATATTTCACACAAAAAAAATGTATAACCAAATCAGCTCCACTGAGAAATGCACAGTATCCCAGTAAAAAGTTACTACTTTTAAAATATCCTGAGCTACAGTGATAGTTCACAATACCTTCCATCGAAAGTAGATTAAAATTTGGAAATTCCACAAGTTTCGAAGCGTTATTGTCGAGCGCTTTGCGATATTGGCAGTGTTTCATACTGAAGGGTCTAATACAAACTCGTACTGGGATATTTGCAACAGGTTAGTATATTTCTGAAATGACTATCCTATGAGGTCTACTTATGTGTGCTCATCACAAATAAACTTAGAGTAAATAACATAGTGTGTAACGGGGTAAATGCAGGATTTAAGTATGTGTTTTTGAAGTTGATAGACTTTGAAGTTAATCGGCCACAAGAGATTGTGCTTGGAACATAGGGTAAAAAAGGTTGAGATGGTGCTCAAATGAACTGTAATATACTTTAGATTTAAACTGTAGTAAATTTTGGTAACATTTAGACTCGAACCGACAACGCGCCACTAAGACGACTTGATATAATCAACAAACTTTTGGAATCTAAAGTAAATAAACCTTAAGATTATTTTTTTTCCAAAAATAATAATAATAGTAAATCATGATAGGTTGATTGAATCAGAATAACTTTTGAGACTTTTCTATTTCTTATAGATAGGTTTATCAAGGAAATCTGTTCTGGGCTTTTTGCATTTGTACGTTTTGTAACAAAAGTTTCTACAAGTACTTCAATAGTATCGTTACAATATATTTGACTCGTACTAATCGGTCCATGAATAGCACAGTTAGTATTATAATAAATATCTACTATCACTTGACACATTTTTCATAAGCCCTGCATATACCCCAACTTAAAATAATACAGGTTAACAATGCTTTACAAAGTAAAAGTTACAATAACATGTTTAAGGGGTTATTGAACAAAACTGTTTGGAATGGATGTGTTTTCTCTAAGGAATCTTCGGACATTTTGTCCTCGCTGAAGCAGAACATGTTCTCTCTCAGCCACACTAGGTTATATACAGATTGTCGGGGCATGAAGATGTATTAGTACATTGCTTAACCGAGTCCATCACCATACTAAGCTTTCAGATAAGCTAACATATATCTAAAGTCATTGCACTATATAAATTATTGAATTGGCACTTTCAATCAAATAGTACAAAATGTTGGTTTTGTATTTCATTGGAATATTGCAATAAAGTAACTTGTGAGCAAAAATATTGCATGCCAAAAATGACCGGTTTGAATTTACAGGGTTAAAAATGGAAAACGAAACTTACAGTTTGTGTACGTATCTGGCGTTATTTCAAACTTTACATTAAACATACAAATATTTACATAGAGTACAAGTTATTTGTGTTCTCGAATATGCAATATCAGAGGAAATGTATAAATTAGAGAAACTTTAGTCACATCTTAGACTAATGAGAAAGTGTTTATACAGACACCTAAGCTATTAAAGCGGCCGTTAAGTCGAATATGGTGGCGAGATAAAATATTTTACAATCTCTTAGGTAGTGAAGAATTAGTTAAGGAACCAGAAAAAATGTCAAGCTACTAAATGGAAAAGTAAAATTAAATTGTGCACGCAAATTATAGATACAGTCATTAAGGTTGGGTGTATCTCCAAACACATAATGGAGTGTAATTAATTTTCGTAATTTTCCAAACTATTTTATAAAACGTTATAACCAAAAATTAACATTTTATACTTGATCAGGAACTTGATTAAAACTTATAGTAAACATAACCAAACGTAAGTAAGTGACAGTAATATTTATCAAAAGGTTATAGTTTATAAAGGTGTATGGAGATAAAAGAATAGAAATTCGTAAAATACAATCAATAGATTAAGATTTTTTGTGTGACTTATTCTGATTTGTGAAAGGTAAATATGGGTTGGAAGTAGAACATGGTAGCTAGGCTAAGAACTCACACTTAACTAAATATTTACAGGAAAATATTCTGATAAGCATACTGATTTAAAAATAACTGGTCAGATTATGAATACATGCAATGCTATTAGGAAAAGTTAAAGGGCATCTTTAAAATGAACGAAACAAATCATACTTCGTAAAAGCTATAGTGATAACATTTGTACAGACTACATTGTTTCAGAAAGATTATAGACCAAAGACAATATTTAGAATATTTAAATAACCTCAACCCAACAAAAGATAATTCGATGAGCGACGAAACCACAGATTTAGATACATTAAAAAAATACAAAAAGGCCACACACCAATGTTTGGAGGTAAATTCCATTTGTATATGTAGATCAGCACTCGTAACAATACAACTTTTTATAAATAAAATAAACATTAGTTGTGCCAAATTTCCACCATAATGTAAATTTTGTTCCAAGCATTGATAGTCAAAATCATTGATCTTTTATTTTGTTTTTGGGTGTTAACTTCCAGGTGTAAAAATACCCAAAATGATGAGATTAGCTTTTATTTTTTTGTAATATGTATAAATTATTGGGTTAACCCATTTCAAAATTAAACTATGATAAAAAACCTGTTATATATTAGACGGGGATAGTTTTTGAATTCCAAGATTCTGAATTTCCAACCACTTATTGGATTTTAATGATTTTTCTGTTGAAAGAAGATATTCTTGAAAGGGAGGGAAAGTCGAAGCCATAATTTTAATTTGGGAGTTCAGTTTTTTGGAAAAAGTTGTTTTAGTTCCTAAAAAGTCAGGCAACCAACACTATCATTTTAAATCTGTTTTAACATATTTTTTGTTTAAGTAACAGTTGGTTTTAAACTGTCACTAAAATGTTTACGTTACAAGTTGTTTACAAGAATATTGATCGTCGGTATTACTGAACAATGCACATATTTTTACGATTTTACTATAAGTAGTTTTTTTCTAACCTAACTGTATATGATTTTCGTTTTCAGAAAATGTATAATAATTTTAACTACATCCTAAACATTTTCATATAATTAAGTTTCGTCGTAAATATAATCCGTGTAAATATTTATACTATGGAAATTTGAATTCATATGATGGGGAAATATTTTTGCAGCAAACTACAGTTTTGTTGTAAAAGTTTATATTTACTTTAAGTGTTAGATAGATCTTTTTCTGAATGTTCGAATGTCTTATGGTATACCTAAATGTTGGATAGTAATGAAAATTTCAACTGGTGTTGTAGGTATACAATATTGGTATCTAGAAAACTGCTGAAGTCCAAATTGTTGTCGGTAGAAACCAATAAGCACTATACCATATATCCTAGTAGTCAAAGGTAGTACTAATAAAACTAGGTAGGTACTGACCAAGAAATCCGACAAAACATAACTGTTGTGTTTGAGGATAGAGTGCCGAGAAAAAAAACAAACATTTTATGGACCAATTTAAGAAAACCAAAGTTTGAGGATATGAAAGTGGCGCTGTCCAAAAGTACAAGGCTAACATGGATAGGCCATGTGTGGAAGAGAGAAGAACATGCAAATTTCAACAGTCTATTCCGAGGAGTATTAATGTAGATAATCCTAATAGATCCTAATAATAGATAATCATAATGTAGATGTAAGAAGTTTTTGTCACTGCAGCATTGGAATTTTTTTTCTTGATAATGGGAGGAGCTTATCCACCTCCAGAAACGTTATGTAGTTTTTAAAACAAGACCCTTTGGAAAAGTCCAATTTAATGATAGTAAAATAATGAAGATGACCGCTTGGAAGACCAAGAGTGAAGTGCAAAGACAATGCAAGGAAAGACAGGGGCTGGGATGTACATTAAAAGAGGCATGTGATAGAAGAGGGTGGAACTGTGTAGATGACAAGGCCAGAAACCCCATTAGGCAATATTATTCAATTGAAGATGGTATTAGATCTTTTTATGTCTACTGTGAAAATCGGCTCCAATCTCACTTCAAGGCTTTGTACAGAGACTGTTGTTTATGTTATGTTAAAGTTATTGTTGTTTTATTGTAAACTCATTGGTTTTAAAATGCATACAGATGTGCATACTCAGATAAAAATAGGTGACCACGACTATGTACAAGGATTCTTTAAATATTAAAACTATCAGAATGTGTCTATATGTAGGTTAATATCCAGATGATAATGGCTGTGAGTGCATATCTTGAGAAATTTAAATTTTAAGGGTGAATCAGGTGAATAAAATAGTTTAAACTGACTACTTGATTCACAAGCGTAGGACGGGCCCTAGTTTAATAGTAATATAAAGCCAGCATAATAATGGTTCAATGAGCACTGAGATAAGTAAGGGAACACACCCAAGATTTGAAATTCATACAAGAGATTTATGAAATATATAAAAAACATATATAGGAACATGCAATATAAATTAGTTAGTTGTTATTTATCCTGATAACATGGGGGTAGCGTGCAGAGGTATACAAAATACGTAGAACAGTAATAGAATAAACTGAATTGTTTGTACTTTTATGTTGGGTTAAAATACTAAGCATGTTTGAAATTTGGAAGAGCCTAAATGCAGATATTTGGTGAACAAAACCACCTACCATTGTTATCCCAGGCTGATTCGCAAAGCAATTCTAATTCGTTTCGGTTTACATACTGCATCTTGGCCTTTCGATTATAACTACAGTAAAAACTCTACGTCGATAAATGACGGCATTGGTACCAGTATGCTTACCAGAATGTGATAAACAATCTAAATACAACAATTTGTTAACTTATATGAATACACATTGTCTTTGAGACATTAATCTAACACTTATTCCTCCCTTACCGTAGGTTAGACCTTTCGTAACAGCGCCCGATGAGCGTTTGAACAGTTGTAGGCACGAGCATATGTTATAGAAATGTTTAAACAATCGTTCCCTGGTTATTCGAGTAGGACAGTGAACTGAACGATGGGTTTGAACGAAGGAGTGAAGGATGCAAAAATGTCCAATACATAGTGTTTTTTAGGGTTCGAAATGTTTTAAACAGTTTATTAAGGGCTGTAAGTAAACCTATTATGATAATCGTAAGGATTAAAACTTGTTACTAAAAAGAGCCAGTGTATTTTATATTTCTCCTCAATAACTGAGACACAGGGATATAATCTCTAAACGTGTACATTTACCAGAAGAACCAGGGACCCACTCGTCTTATTACTCTAAGAATCAAAATACATTTAAAATTACGAATATTAAAGTATTTTATAACAGTTTAAACACGGGTTTATGAAATCTAGTTTAACTTACACTCGATTATAAAAGTGTTAACAACGCTCCGTGTAGAGGAGCACGATAAATTCGTTACAGGGTTGCACTACGTTACATTTGGTTATCCGTCTTTAATTTATTACTAATGTACAATCGCTACATAAAAAGTTTCGACGTATGAACATATTACCCGTTGATCACGCACAAGGTCCAAAGGAGATTACGTGACTATGATGTGAGGCGCGGAACAGAGCACTGCGATGGTGGCTATGACTGTGAACAGGGTGAAGATGATGAGGCAGAGGCGATCGACCACCATGGCGGCGAACTTCCAGTCGTTGGTCACCTCTGCGGCCTCGTCCTCCTTCCTCAGCTTGTCAGTGATCACCCGCAGCTCCTTGAGGATGAGCGTGAGCTCCCGGTGGGGGCCCAGGCAGGAGTGGAGGACTCCGCCCCCGTCTTCGTGCCCCCGCAGGAACGTGTGACTCGAAGACTGCAACGTCCCGTGGCGAAAGTCGTCGTCGATGTCGAGCACGTTGGCCAACAGACTCTTGGAAGAACGCTCCTTCAGTTCCAACTCCCGTAGCTGCAGAGATTTCCGACTGTCCGACACGTTGTCGGCGTTCTGCAGACCGGGGCGTGACATGCGCAGAATGCACGGCAGCCAGTGGAGGAACAGCGATTTGATCTGGAACAGGAAGAGTTCGTTACAATCTGAGTTAGCTATGAGGCAAGTCGATTACAAAAGGTCACCGTTTCAATCCTGAGTAAATTCATAAGCTTTGAAGGTTCGAAAATGGACCAAGATGTCCTTGATCATTTGGACTTTAGGAAATGGTCCAGACTATAGAACTTTAAGACCCAATTGCCAAAGCTATTATCTCGTTCATTTTACACTCATACTCCAACCATGTTCGCTTTAAAATATGCTCAATGATACATCGGACGGGTATAAACTCAACCTATTCTTTAATACTTAAATACGTTTAGTTGAAATGGAGACCATACTAAGGCTAGGTATATTAAGCCAAGTATGAATCGAGATGAGTGTAGGATGAGTGGCGCGATCTTGTAGTCTTGTTAGTGACTAAGGCAGACAAGTTCCCTAGACAGGGGGTGTTAATTAATAGCAACAGTCAATAGCAAGAGGCCTACAGTCTACAGTCTATAGTGGAATCCGAACCACATGTTTGCCTAGTAATTTACGATTTGGTCTAACTATCAGGATAGCACTGAGGATAGTCGTAGTATTCACTATTGCGGTTAATCCACACCAGGGTGTATCGCATCCACAGTGCATACCTATAAATATCCACAATTTGTGAACCCCAAGTAGCTGGATTACAGGACGACACCACCGTCCCAGTACGACAGTGGACACGGATTTAGGACAACGGAGAAGTGTTGAGAAACAGAAATTTACCTAATAGTGGTTTCATATTGAACTGGAGGTACAATGGAACATAAATATATTAGATTAGTGCCTTGAATTGTATTAAAATGTAATACATGTTTTAATAGGAGATGGATATAACGAACGAACAGTTACTTATGGGATTTAAAATGGAAATTTTGATGTTTAAGAACACATACTTATGTATATACACATGTGATATCTGTCTGAACTCTGGTTGTGCCACCCAGAGAAAATAATTTTGGGGATGATATATACACTGTTTTATTACTCATGGAAATAAACCCATGTGCCTTTTTGTAAGATCTTGAAGCTTGGTTTGTTTTCATTTTCAGGTGTAATTTTCCCTTAGCCACTGGGTCCATTTAAACGACGTTAAAAAGTAATTTTATCAATTTAGCATGGTTAAATATGGAAAAACCCGAAGGTACAACAAGAAAAAAAATTCTCAGTTACTCTTTCTCCAAACTAAGTTTATAATATATCGTTGTAATCTCCATGATATTTACAAAATTCTACATGTCTTGGAAATATTTCTCAAAATTTCATGGAATTTGGCATCAAATATTTTTAAAAGCCGCCATTTTTGAACGAATCAAGAGTTTTTATTCATATTTGGGGCAAACATAGTGGTCAATAAGATAAACATTTTTACAGAATTCCAACGCTGTAGCTCAAACAGTTAAGGAGTTATGAATGTTTTTGTAAAAACCACATACAAGCAGATAGACCGAAAACGGATTGAGATAGGACACATGTTATATTACATTTTTTTTTGTTTTGACATGCAGAATAACGTGGCAAAGTTTGTTCATAAGGTTGCAAGACACCCTGTATTTGCTAAGTAAAATTGCTGAAAAAATAAATAAACTGTAAGCTAACGTTTATGGTTTGCAAATTTGGTTTAAGCTATGAACGTACTTTAAATATTGATTCATTTAAAATGTTTACGATAAGGGACTATAAAGCTTGCTTTTAATTTAATTTAAAAACATGAAATATATAATGTGTCTAAGCAATAAAAGTGATTATTAATTAATTAATTAACATTGTCCGGAAATCCAAGGCGTAATGCTTAGAACTTATTTTACTTGCAAAAATCAATTTAAAAATACTTATAATTAATGCAATAGGTTATTAGGAGATATTTGTTTGAAAAGAATATTTTTAACGACATTATACACGAAATTTGTCTATAACGTTTTAGAATTTGAAGTAGTAAATACAACAAATAATTTATACGTAACAGCAGTATAGTACCAGCGCGTAGAATTTGATCCATAATAATATCGCCTAAGCCACATTATTATTGGAAGGATCTGTTATTCCCTGCTATTCGTTACTTGTTTATTGTTGCAAAGGAAAAGCTTTCATGAATAAAAGGTAATTGTATGCATAGTTTTTAATACTTGATTAATTTACAGGATAAACAATACAATACAATAAGTTTGAAAAGAGTCTGTACACTAACAGGATTAAACCGTTGAAGAAGAGATATTTTTAAATTTCGACAAACATTTATGATAAAACGTCAGAGAGACTTGGGCAAAAAAATATCTTGGAAAGGTCCTGGCAGGAACCCTTCCATAAAAGAAAGGACAGTTTTGGAAATGTAGCCCTTCCTTGAACTCGGTCAGACCGTCTCTTTATTTTTTACACTCCTCGATAAAATTCTTCCCAAAACTCTTTTAATTTAGGATCGACTAGGTTTTGTTTTTAATATTGATTATTAAAACTGGTGTAGGTTAATTTGTGACACGATTCTTACCTGACTTTCCGGTAAAAGAAAAACGACGTTAGTTTCAATGAACGACAAAATTAGGTTACAAAGAGAAACTAAATATTTGGAGTAGGCTGTCAACACTATATTCGGTTTGGTTACAGAATCGATAGCTTTCGTTAAACCCTCTTAAAAACTTTATATTTTAAAATGCACACATTTTACGAATGGGTGGATAGGTATTTAATTTCGAACGAGTTAGTTTAAAATACAATGTAATTAAACAAACCAGTTTCAAATAGAATACAAAAATAAGTAATGACCTAAAATTGCGATATTAATCAATGTTTAAGCAATCTATTCTGTGGAAATAAGTTGAAATGTTCGAATACATTTTAAGCTAAAATAGTTTTCTTTCGAAAAGAATAGACTAAAGTATTTGATATATTGGCATCTTTAGATATTCCTTTAATATATCTACACCCCTTCTGTTCACATTTAAAAGGTAGTAAATTAAAATGAAATAAAGATAAGAGTGATTGATTTAATGTATACGTGTCTTGCTCGAAATTCAGCAAGAAGATATTTTATTATTTGTTTTAATTAATAGTTAATTTGAGTCAAGAGGAAATTTTATGTTTTGTTGATTAACCCCTCTTTTATTATGTTAACACAATCTACTGTTAAAATGAATTAATTTAACATAATATATCGTCTTCCTCCTTACACTTTACAATATAACCAAAGTTGAGTACCCTTCTAAAATCCTCTTTAAATCCTTTTTACTTCTAACCCCTATACATAGTATGGAAAAAGTATTGTTTTTGTAAAAAGGTTTGAGTTTGGGGTATGGATGGAAATATACGTTTTGGGCCCCCCCTGAACAGAAAAAGTTTTTTTTTTTACTTAAAATATGTGTGTTTGTGTGTGTGGTACAGAGCTACATTCTACACCTGAGTTCAAAATTTGGTATGTGAGTACCAACCCAAGGTATCTCCAGGGGTATTTCAGTTTTTTGAAATTCTGATTTTCAATAACGGCTTTCCCATAAAAAGTCATAAATCAATGGAAAATCGGGTTTTCACAAAAGCTACTCAAAAGATCCTTTAATTATAATTTAGTACGTGAATCTTAACCTATCAAAACGTCCAAAGCTGTAAAATTTACGGTAGCTATTGCAATTTTTGTAATTTTACCCATAAAATATCATAACTACTCCCATCGCTTATAAGGCTTGATGAGCAAAACACCTAATGGAAGAAGTACGCTTTGCTGATACCGTTTATTAGAATTTTTTCAAAAAAAGGTTATTGGGAATTAAATAAAAAAATTAGTTGTCTTTTCAAAATCGGCAACAGACTGGTTACAATATCAACTAAGTTGGGGCCGCTGCCGCAGTCGGGAGTTTAGGATCAATACTGGAATGGGGGTGGTCACAGAGAGAGATAGAATGTTTAGGAGGTTATCTCTCTCCCCCTCTCTCTCTATCACTCTCTCTCTCTCATACACAGGGAGAGGGGATGTATTCAGGTCACACCCTCCCCACTACTTGCCCTATTTTCTGGCTTTACTATGAAAATGGTTTTACACATCAAAAGTATATCCTCTTTGTCAGTGCCATATTGAAACGGTTTGCATAGGTCTAAAAGTGTTATGGATCAAATGATTTCTAGTGGTCAAAAGGCTCTTGTGTCCTGTAATTTATTTTGTTATTGGTCATTTTGCTTAGTTAAAATCCCACTTTTTTGGGACAACCTAAACATTATTAATGTTTATTAATTTTTTTTAATTTGAATTTGGTTAGGGGATTGTTTAAAAAGAAAAAAAAAACAGAGAGGCCGAAATTAATATGTGAATATAAACACTAAATGCTCAAAAGTGTTGCACAAATAATTCATAAAAAAAATAATTCATTTTGTTTAAAAAATTTTTAACACTTTACCAAACCCATTAAAAATCAGGTAATGAATAATCCCTAAAATAGCTTGTAAGCAAAATTTATACTCTAAATACTAAAAACATTGACACAATTGAACAAGGGAATAATCGTAATACAACACTTGGCTGGAAAGTTATAGTTATAGGTCGTATGGATTATCAGTTTGATTAGCTGTGCTTAGCATTGCGTTAAGAAGAGGATAACACGTCTATTCTAGTGGGGAAAGTTCCAAACCACTAATTGACTATAAAAACAATGCTTAGTACATTAACAAATAAAATCAAAATAGAGCAAAAAGTATACATTATTTATGTTCATTTTATTTTTTTGCCATGGAGGTCATTCATATTTACTCTTTAAGACTATGTCTGGAAATATTAGACTTAGGCCTGTATGGTGTTTGAGGGGATTATAAGGCCATCATAAGCCTATGTGATGGATTAGTTAATTTTCTACCTTTGGGTCAAAATCTCACGGTTTAGAAGTTTGTGCGTTTATCCGTAACCACAGACATGCAAAAACACCTTCATAAACATTACAGTTTATCAGTTATATTTTGAATATATGTTATTTAATTTACAAAGAAAAATGTTGTTAGGAAATTGCTAACATTTG